TTGTTTTTATATAGTGAATTTTATTGTATATAAATTATAACTCAGTAAAAAAAAGTGATGTGCCTTAGGGATTCTATATGGAAAATGGTCCATTTTCAGAGAGGTGGCGGCTGCCAGTAGCTGGTGAGGCCCCAATCAAATACGCAGAATCATTAATTAGGGTCATTTGTTAGGCTGTGAGGTGAGCAGAATGTCTAAAACCTCCCCAGGAGAGAATTGATTCATCCCCCTCTCTGTACTTTTCCGAGTACTTCTAACACGATCCTCAAAGCCTGCAGGCCTCATACATATGTCCTAATGGGCTAATTGTTAAGGCGACATTTGTAAATTAATCCCTGACTTGAGCTAAGTGGTTTCCCCTAATGGCTTTAATTCAGTGACTCCCATTCTTGGCCATACATCAGATTCACTGGAGGAACTTGTGGAAAATAGAGGTGCCCAGCTTCCCCTCTCCCCAGCTCGCCATCCTCTGCTTCCAGGACAGGATGAGGGCACCTGGGTTTTTTGTTTTGTTTTATTTTGTATAGTTTTAGAAATGCTACTCGAGTGTGATGATTGTGGTGGTAGCCGCCTTTATGAGTCTCTGCTCCAATCAGTGTCTAGAGGCCCTCGCAGACTGTGTCGCTGGAAGCACGTGAGGGTCCAACTCAACAACTTGGGACCAGTTTCTAGAACAGGCAACGTGCCTAGGAGCCCACCTTCCTGACTCATTCATTCTGTGTCTGCCTTCCTGGGACTGTCCTTTCCTTGACGAGTTCCAGTGACCTGAGGGGGGCTATTCTGTGCGTTGCTATCCTGTTTCCCGTTTTTATGAGCTTTTGAAAAATGTGGAATATCTTCAGGGCCTGCTGGAATGTGAATCATGAAAATATCTGTGAATGCCCCCTCTCTGTTCTCCATTTATCATCAGCCTCCTGGTGCCAAGTGGTAGGGGCAGACTTTTTCTTTTAAATGCTCTGTCTCTGTGTCTCTGGGTGTCTGTGTTCCTGGCATTCTTCTGTGCAAACACATGTCATGTTTGATCTTGAAGTTTTGAAAATCAATGACATAAGAGCACCATTGTTTCAGTTACATTTGTCAAATCGTTTTTGTTTTTAGGTATCTGGCACTCTGTAAATATCACACCGTACTTTGTATTAGCACACAACATGTGGGTATTTTCAGTAAACCTGAAATTACCATCCCAAGGGAGCCAAGATGATTTGGTGAACCCAGTCTGGGAAAGCTAGAAAGCCTCTGGAAAGATCGGCACACAGTGTGCCCTCAGAGGGAATGCTCACCCTGTCCCACGTGTCACACCGTGCTTACAAGATCTTGTTTGCGACGGTGCTTTGTAAAGTGCATGCTTATTTTTTTTAAATATTTTTTTAATGTTTTGTTTATTTCTGAGAGAGAGAGAGAGAGAGAGAGAGAGAGACAGCATGAGCAGGGGAGGGTCAGAGAGAGAGGGAGTCACAGAATCCGAAGACAAGCTCCAGGCTCTGAGCTGTCAGCACAGACCCCGACGCGGGGCTCAAACCCACGAACCGCGAGATCATGACCCAAGCTGCAGTCGGACGATCAACCGACTGAGCCACCCAGGCGCCCCAAGTGCGTGCTTATTATACTGTGTTTTCCATGGCCTGGCTGCTGGAGGGCTGGTGTTTTTCTGTCTCTGGTACTTTGCCTTTCTTGGCTTCATCTTACCAGGTCCCTTAGGCTTCAATGTCCCTGAGACCATCAAGGTACATGGAAGAACTCCCAGTGGCCTCCCCCTTACTGAAGGGATATTAGAGTAGCTGTTACATGTAGGAAGAAGGGACTCTTTGAGGACAAAAAGCATATTGAGACAGAAGCCCCTGTTATTCCTGCCCATCCCTAACTTCTCCCATTTATGTCTGCACCCAGTCAATCTCTTAATGCATATTGACTATACCCATGCCATCCGACTGAGCACGGATTGCATAATAGCACAACATTCATCTATGTAAAGATTACTCTACAGTGGAGTGTATCTCATGACTCAAAGGGGACTTCTTTCATGTTTCCTAGGGCCTTAGGAGATGTGAAATAAACACTTCAGATAATTATTTGGGGGTGCTCTGTAACAACCATTTAGGCAAAAGAATCTGATCAGTTTGTGTCGTTAGACTGAATTTTTTCATATTTAAACAGAGTTCTCAGACAAGGGGCGATTTGTCAGAGAGGGAGAGGTAAGAGATGAAGAGAGCGAGAGAGAACTAGTCCTTTGCAGGGCCCCATAGAAGACGAAGCTTTGTTGGATCCCTATGTTCATGGCCTGATCCAAAGGGCTGATTCACTTTCTGCAGCACCTGGATCCAGGTTGACGATGTAATCAAGTTTGACATGATAAAAAGCCATGTGGCAAGTTTAAAAATCACATGCACTGTTGCCTTAATACTGAGAAGCAGGTGCCCCCCTCCCCATTGATTGTTTTATTCCTGGAGGCAGGTGGGTGGAAGAGTTTGGACACCTTGTACCTCCTCAGGAAAAAGCCTTCCGGCTGAACATGTTGACCCAGGAATAGGTGCACCCATCAGCAGCTTCAGTTCTTGGGAGCTTTGGAGGTCATTTTCGTCCTGGATTTCTTCCCTCCCTTACCCTATCGCAGAGATGCCACTATTTGAATTTGCATCTTAAGAAGATAGCAGGAGTCCTCTCCTCCTGTCACTGGCTGATTTGCTTAAATAAGCTGCACAGTATTCCCTGTCACAGAGGCCGAGCGAAGGCAGCTGGGACAAATTAGTGTCAGCCACTTTGTCTGGCCCCCCCAATGCTGGGAAACCCTGGCTGTTGCTGGATAGCTTAGATTTTGAGCTTATTTCATAATGATGTAGATGCCATTTGCAAGGGCTTCCATCCTTTTTCCTCTCCTCTCCCCTCTGTCCCTGCCCTCCCTGCCCTCCCCTTACGGCCTGTATAGACAGCTCTGACCAAAGCTCAGCATTCACACACACACACACACACACGCACACACACACACAGCCCAGCTGACAGAGATTAGGCTTGGGTCAGCCGTTTATGAATGAAGAAGAGGTCCTTTCCCTGTGTCCTGGCCACGCCCCTTCTCTTTGCAGCATTTTGAGAATGAGGTCGGGGCGGGGATCTAACTGCTTGTGTCTCAGAAATAGCAACACAGATCAAAATTAATCTTAAGCTATTTGTTTTGCTGCCTCATTCAGATAATAGAGGGAAAAGCTGAGGCTTGTTTATGCTTTAGTTTGTTTTTGTGCATAACTTTGCAAAGAATGAATGAGTGTGTGTGAAGGAGAGTCTAGGATTAGCCCATCGGGGGATTAGCACCAGGTAGAAGGTACTTGCTAGCAGACAGCAGGGTTTCCTTGGATTCAGCTGCAGCATAGTTTAGTTTTTGAGACAAAATGGAAGAATAAAATAAGCCCCAGTGGTGTACTGTTTTACCACTTCCCTTTGTAAGGATAATTTGTCAGGTGCTATGAGGCTGCATCTTCCTTCCACAGTGTCCGGCAGTTTGTAACTGTCAGTGTTAACTGTGTGGTCCTCTCTCCATCCCGGGAGCTCCATGGAGTTCTGCAGTGTTTTGAATGAATACCTTATGCAGATTTCGCTTCCTATTGGCGACTTTGGTTTACACACACAATACAGCTATGTGTGCAACACAATACAGCTATGTGTGCATGATCCTCTCTCTCTCTCTCTCTCACACACACACACACACACACACACACAGAGCTTGACCATGCCCAGCCATTACATAAATTGGGATTCATTTCTGTTCACCAGCCAATGCCACAGTGATGTCAATATGCAGATAGTATGATGAGGCTGACACTTCTCTCCATCTATAGTACCTTTAGGATATTAGTGTGTCTAAAAGCTATCTGTTGAGCTCTGGCACTGTGTGTGGTGGTGGTGGTGTTTGCTTTTGTTTTCAATCTTAATTATTGGCTCTCCATGTCTGTAGTTTTGAGTATCTATTAAGTTGTCCTACTGGTCTCCTCTGTGAAAGACTAAATAAACTAGGAGGTGGAGTAGGGACAGAAGTGTCGGTATCAGCCTCCCTGCTACATGTGCAATGGATGGACTTCAGTGTGACAAGTATCCTTTGAAGGAGATGCCAAACTGTCTTTCATATCAGTGGCAGTTAATTTTGAGTGCCGAGTGTAAAGATGAACAAGGATTCTTGTGTAGCTGGCCCAATGTATTACCTAATTTGGCTTCCCACACTTGAACTATTTCCAGAATACTGAGAAGTGTTTAACCACACACACACACACACACACACATGTACACACACATATACCCACATTGTGTGTACACACATTTGTACAAGCAGCAAATTTATGTTTTTCAAATCGATGTTTCTCGTGTGGAGACAGGAAGTAAGTCAGGGATTGCACAGGGCTGGGGATAGGGATGGGGATTAACTGGTCATGGACATGACCGTGACCCATGGACATGAGGGCTCTTACCAGGATGATGAAAGTGTTCTGGTACTAGAAGATCATAGCGATGGCTGTACCGCTTGGTCAATTTACTTGAAGTCATTGATTGAATTGTATACTTAAAATGGGTGAATTTTATGGTATGTAAGTTATATCTGGGCAGAGCTGCGAACAATGGGTATTCCCGTATCTGACTCCTCTGGGCCCAGGTTACACATAATGTGACCAGCTGTATCACCCGAATTTTCACTCACTCTTTTCCCATTGGAGTGTGCTGACTTCATTGCAGAGAAGCTGGGCCCTGTAATCACAGGGCTAGAAGAGACCCAAAGCCGTAGATACAAGAGTCTACCCTGACCCCTGTCGGCCAGCAATGAGGTTGCTGCCCGCTGCAAGGTGCGGAGTCAGCATCAGGGTGTCCTGTGGGGGGGCCTTGAGGGGCTGAGATTCCCAAGCAGGCCCCAGAAAGCAGTTGGAACCCTTCTTCCCAGCTGCTGCCGCACATGCGTCCAAAAAAACCCCCAAAGCTTCCCAGTGTCGGCTCAGAAGTGATGGCATTTTCCTCTTCTTTTGCAGGTTGTCTTAGTCTTTGCTCTCAGCATTGGTGCCCTTGTAATATACTTCATAGATTCGTCAAAGTGAGTATTCAAATACGTTGTCTTGCCCCCTTTCCTAAAAATAACTGTGAGCCTCTACATTGATCAATTGATTGACTTAAACACCAAAATTTGCAAGAGTCTTTTGAATGTGGAAGGATTTCAGAGGACAGCGGGACTACTCTGTGCTAGTTTTCTGAATGGGAAAACAAGCTCTCACAAGGAAGGCTACTTTGATTCTGCTGGACTATGAGGGAGGAAGAGGTATCCAAGGGTGTTATTTATTTTTGCTGGATATTATTTATTTTGATTGGCTGTTTCTTGTTGAAGTATTTGCACTGAAGATGTCAAGAGGTTAAGAGAGCTTTGGTGTGAATGTCCAACCACTGGGAGGGCTACAGGTACCAGCCAATGAGGGTCTAAACCATTCTTGCCATGGTGGTAAGGCCCTCTGCTCATTAGGGTTTCCGATGCTTTAATCTTGTTGGAGGTCTCATTAGGAAGTGCGGCTCTATCCTTTGCAGCTACCAAGCTGAATATTCAGCAGACGCATTGCTCGCTGGTGCTTCTTCAGTTGTGAAGGTCACTGATGGGACGGAGGAGTTCATGATGACTCCCAGAGGTGGAGACCCATGGCCATCTAGGATTTCATAGGGTGGACATCCGTGCAGACCCCTGGGGTGCCAGTTGAGTGAACTGGGACTCTAGGGTGAGCCTGAGATGGGGTCTTGCAACGAGGTAAAAGCTTCATAAGAGGCAGGAGAGGTCACTGAGGAGAGCTGTTAGGTGGTGGCCAGCTCTGTCCCGGTCCCTGCAGGTGTCACCCCAGGGGGGAGGCCTCGTTTTTTTCCAACTATTCTACTGCAGACTTGAGGCTGACAGCATCTGGGAATCTGGGAAGCTGGAGCTGATCTGATCTGACACGCCTTTTTGTGGTGACATGTACTTGAAATCTGGACAGTGGACTTGAGATCTCTGCCTATATAGTCTACTGTGAGAGTGTTTTCAACTCTTTGAACTCTATCCCTGGAATGGCTGTCTACTAGATTTTGATTCCAGGAAACCTGCTTTGTGTCCTTGTTGGAGTAGACAACAAGGGTGCTGAATTCTGAGCTTAGTGCTCTTTCCCTGTGGCTCAAGATGGTAGTAATTTCATGCACGCCTGAATTCTGAATTTCTCAGAGGCATCTGGTCACCAGCCAAAGGATTTTGTGCAATTGGGTGCTGAGGCCAAAATGCCATGTCAGGGAAAATAAAGAAAACGTTTCCCCTTAATGACTTGTCTCTGGGAATCAGCCAAATCTGAGAGTATCAGAGGTCCTTCTGTCCGTTGCCACACATGAGGCTGGACTGCCCTCACCTGTCTCAGGTGGAGGAAGGTCCTTTAAAAGTCCTTCAGGAGACAAGATCCCACCTGCTCCCTCCATCAGCTCTTCCTGGCCAAGAAAGAGAAGAGCTTTTTAAGTCTGGCAAACTCAAGTTGGTATGTCATTGAAGGTAAGCCTCTTTTAAGTATCTATTCTTCATGATTCTGGACCATATTTGAATTGAACCAAAGATCTCCTAAAGCCCTGGTCTTCTTTCTCCATTCCCTTTCAGGAGTGAGGAGTGTTCTCACATGTCAGGGGATGCATAGCCTGTCAACTTCCATGGCAGGCTAGGTAATGGGTTTGGGCACGCATATGTGTGTCCCAGACAGAGCAAACCCTTATATGGAGGTGAGTGAGTGTGGCGATTGGTTAGGAGAGATGCTTCCACACCTTCTTTCCCTTCCCCACCCTTTATAACCCTTTGTATTTCTCAGAAATAAAATGCTCTTGTTAGATGGATTTGAATTGTGTCCTTTTTTACAGTGTCTACTAAGAGGCAGTCTTCCGTTCTGTAGATCCAGGTGTTCTCGGCTCCATGTGAGAGGGTGGAAAGGAATGAAATTCTCCAAGGCCAAAGAGCCTCTTCCCTGGATACCCTGCACCACCCCAGTGTCGTTTAGACTTAGGGGTGGATTCTGCTAAGACTTGGGAAAGCCAGCATTGGGAGCCCTCTCTGGTTCTGATTTCTTTTATGGACTTGCAAAGAGTCTTTTCCAAAGATGGAGAGTCAGCCCTGTTCTCCACTTTTTTTCAGCAAAAATGCCAAAAATCTTAGAACGAAGCTTGTCTCCAAACTCCCTGGAGACTACCCTAGCTCAGTCTTTCTTCTCTGTCCCTGAACTGTGTGGTTTGGCAAAGCAAGACTTGGTTTATTTATGTAGGCCTTTCCATTTCTCATTTGCATTACTACCCCTGGTTCTAAAGCCATCTCCCGAGGTTCTGTATCATGGGCGAACTGATCAGCACAGCCAATACCAAGGAGACTTCCATCTTCCTGGGGAAAGACCAGCAGAGCATGTGAACATCAAGCACAGGGAAGAAGGAAGGTTGAGTCTGTAGAGTAACCTTTATAGCAAGTCCACAGATTCCCAGGAATAAACAAAGAACCTGTTAGACATCGTAATCAAGCATAGCAAACAAGAGAAGATGACGTTCTGTCCACACATAAGATGCAAATGGAAATGTGTAAGAAAGCGGGATGTAAATTCCCCAAATCTATCTTTTCATTCAAGATTCTCATCGATTGTACACACCGGTGGTTTGGCTGGCCATTTGGGCATATTGGAACAAGAGCTTTAAACTTCTCTTGGAAGTTATGCTGTATCATTACCCAGAAGTGGCAAAAAAAATCCATTATTCTTCTCATGAATTTTAGTTATCATTTATGCCGTTCAAATCAATCAGTCAATTTATAGGCTTTCCCTTGCATGAGCCTAATTGGGCAAACATTGTTGCAAAGAGGCTTGTCTCAGTGAATTTTAATCAGAGCTGGCCTCCTCCATGATGGTGGGGGATGCTCCAGCAGCACAAGCTCAAGATGTGAGGCTCTCTGCACCCAGCCCTTTGCAGAGTTTGAGGAATACAGATCAATACATGAGGTAATCTCCAGGGTCTGCCTTGCTGACTCAGTGTCAGGCGGGCCCATCCAGGCTGTGCGAATGGACGGGCAGGCGTGGGGCAACAGGTGGGGAAGGCAGTTCAGATAAAGGTCATGAAGGGTGGTTCTCTGATCTTTTTCACTTTTCAAAACTGATTTTACTATCAAGAGGCAGTGGGTAAGTCATTTCTAAACACAGCCTCTCCTGCCTATCTTTCCTTTCCCATTGTTGGGCCAAGATTGGTCCCTGAGCATCTCTGTCTCATTCAAGAGTTTGAGGAGCCCTTCTTTGGGTCTTAGTTTTCCTAGAGTGATCACCATAGAAGAATCACTCGTGCAGCCTCAAGTGATTGCTATCTAGCTAAGACAGATTGTGCTCAGAACTCCTGGAGTTGAAAGCCAAAGAGAATGACATTAAACTGTGTTAAAATTATGCTTCATCATCCCAGTGGTAGATTCTCTAGAAACACCCAAGCAGAGGGAGTTGTTCTACCAAGTCTTTGGATAGGCACAAGTGCTGATTCCTTGAAGCCACAGAGAGAGGAGCATTAAGCCCTCCAAACACAGTCATCCCATCCCTCAAAAGATATTAAATTAGCCACATGAGGCAGACATTGTCCGAAAGAACTCCATTTCTTTTTCATTCTTTTTAAAGGTGTTCTGCCCAATTTAAGGCATCTGCCACTCCGTCTCTTAATTCTTATGTCTCTTGATGTCTATTCCGAGCCTTTCCTCCTATACCCCTTGATATTCTGTGAAGCAAAGATTTTTTAAAAATTGTACAACCAAGTCAAAAGTGCCCCAGACACCCTGTGGGTGATAATGTCACCACTGCTGGTTCCATCTCTGTCTATTTTCTCTCTTTGACATAGGAACAGTAATTCTTCTCTAATAGATAAGAAGGGGGAAAAAAGACCCAACGATGTCAGTGTGAGGGCAGGATTCATGGATTGCATAATGCAGTAGTTCTTGCTGCTTCTAGAATTTCAAGAGAAAGTTGGAAGACACAGGCTCCAGGCCCTGGGTATTTGCATTTTTTTCCAGGGGCATTCTTGGAAAGGATGACTCACCTGTGGGGAGATATTTATTCCTTTGATTCATGTTTAAACTCAGCTGCTTCTTATACTTCAGTTCTGTGGATGATGAATATTTAATACTGCGTATACTGAAAATGAAGGTCAAGTTCTGCTTACTGGTGACTTCGGTGCAGGCTCATGCCTCTGCAAGGCAAGCTACCTGCTGTGACCAGAGTAAAGCTGAAAGGTTATACATTGTTAAAATTTTCCTTAATGACTTTATCTGCTCCAAAATCGCTGGCACACAGTGAGGGCACCCGCTGATTTCACCAGCCTTTGCTCTTGGCTTCTCATATCAGTAGTGAAGCTTTGGGGATATGGACATTAGCAAGGAGGCAGGAAGATCAGTGCAAAATATGGAGAGCATTTAATCCGAGGGCTGGATTCCAGGATAATGGTGGTATTATGATTTGGAAATGGCCTTCTCCTGGTCTTTAACATCCATTTAACATTTTACGTTTGTATTCATGGATTCATTCATCTTGTATTCATTCACTCACCGGAGACCTCGTCAATACAATAACAAGGAAGATTTTTCACACTGTAAAATTCTTAGGGCTAGGTATGGGTCAGGAAGGTTATCTTAAAGATCACAGTAGAAATTGACCAAACTGTTTTCATACTTTCTGAAAATAAAACTGGTACCCTTGATATGATGGGGATACCCAGAGCCTTTGTAGAACTGGCCAATAACCAGCTATTTTATCCACTGAGTGTTCACATAGCCAGGCCTCTCGTCTCTCAGCCTGGAAGTTCTCTTGAAGGAGGAAGAGAGAGACAGATGGCCACGAGAACTAACATTCCCTCATCATAGACTTGTGTGAGGTATAGTGTCGAGCACACTATAATACACACCACACGGGACCTCACTGGACTCCCCCAACAACTTGCTCGGGTGGTGTTATTACCTTTCCCACTGTACAGGTGAGGAGGCTAAAGATGCAACATTGATCCCAAACCACATAGCTCATGAGTCATGGAGCCAGGATTTGAATCCAA